ACCTCCCTAGGAAGGCGCCCAGGAGGCATCCGAAACGAATGCCTGAGCCACCTCAGCTGGCTCCTCTCGATGTGGAGGAGCAGCGGTTCTACTCTGAGCTCCTCCCGGGTGACAAAAAGCCAATGGGATTTTTTTTTCATAGGCTTTTGGATTATTGCAAAAACTCAGTTCTGGGTTTTAGGATTCACTGTATGCAAGAGTCATCCTCCAGATAAAGTCAATTTCTGGATACTCAACAAGAGCTCTAATAATGTAGATATGGATATGAAATTCTCCATGTAATTCTCTCCGTGGTTAATAGGACATCAGTTACTTATTCAGTGTTTTTGACATAAGTAAATTCTACTATTGCTTCTATTTCAACAAAACCTTCTGATATTTTGAATCCGAGTTGAATTTGAACAAAACTGGCTTTTCAAGATGTTCATGGATATCTGACAGCAGAGGAACTCAACACTGTAAGCGCACGCATTTGCCTAACAGGGTAGTCAGCTACAAGAAAGAAGCAGGATTTAACTATTAACCTGATTGTTAAAGTGGACATGCTCCAGCAAAACAGTGCTAACTGGCCCCGCTACACAGGGACCCAATGAGCGGGCACAAACATTAACAATTCAAAACAACATTATCAATTCCGGCTAATGCTAGAGAAAGTAGCCCACCCAAACTCAAAAATATACATTAGTTAAACTACTTTAGAGCCATAGGCTTTAAGCGACCCTTGGTGTAGTTTGGTGAGTGGGCAGCGGAGCACTATGGTGCATTTTCAGAACTGCAAAAAAACATTCTCTCCAGAAATAAAGTTAAGCAAGCTACGTCGGTGGGCAGTTCACTCAAGCAATTGTAAAATATCCTAAAACTTCACATCCAGCTTACAAACACATGAACTGTTACGTCGTTCAAAGACCTTATTTAGACGTTGCTAAATTTAATTGTTTATAAAAAGACGCTAGCATCTTATTTGCTAAACATTGTATTCCTGTAAGCAAAGCTAGCGTTAGCGTGTTGCATTAGAAAGTTTTGAAAATTACACTTTGCGACCTTCAAAATCAAATGGGTTACGTTAACATCCAATTTAGGAAAAAAATACAGCATTTGTCAAGTTTGAACTGCGATGGCTGCTTCTTACCTTTGCAAATCTGCGACTCCAAACTGAAGCTAGGAGACGCCTGGTGTTTGTCTGGCTAGCAGCTACCTCTGGGCTAACTCGGCGGTGGTGAAGAGACGTGGGTGACAAGCGGTAACTCGAAACAGGGACTTCATCCCGCCCTATTTCAGGTACATATTTGGCCTCTTATACTCCGTATACTGCACTGCAAGCTTATCTAGACGTTTTTCCAGCTAACTACTATATTTTTACCACCCATAGTAGCATGTACATTACTGTACAGGCCGCTTCCACAAAATAGCGCGCACTACACTCCCTGTCACAGACACGTTGCTTGTACGCGCTTAAAGAGGAGGCCTAACCGGCAGCACAGTGGAAAAATATCCACGGTCCGTTAATCTATCATCAATTCATGTCTGTAGCCTATTGACGATTTAGATGACTACGCTGACCAACAGAAGTGAGGACGCCACCATGAGAAGAGCAACTGAACTTGTCTGACGTCATGTGAAGGCCCATTTTCACAAACGCACTTATTTTCAGCGTCTTTGTGTAAATTCATTCGTTTACAGGTTATATGAACTTTTTTACACTTGCTGAAACATTTTTATAAGTACAAATCGTTTCTATACTGCATTGCCTATTTAAAATGTTTTTACAATTACAAAGCTTTTCTACACATATTCAAAACGGTTTTACAAGCTCAAAATCCCTGTGACCATGTACTGAGCTCACAGGTTTCATCACTATGTCTCAATAGCATCTGGCAATATATTCTTCACTATGAGAAAACAAGCAAATCACTTTCAACTATCAACAGCTGAGTTCACTGGCTGTACCTTCATCCAGGAGGGTATATGGAAAGGGTGTTGAACTGAGATATATGAATAGTCACACACTTTTCAATAGTTAGAATGAACTCAAGTGTCTCATCAGTTAACACACTGACAAGAGAGGCTCTTCCTCCCTTTCTCAATAGCTAACCAATCAGAATTCCTGTGACTGCTCTGTGGGTTGGAGCCAATATTAAGTTTAGTGGAGCACACAGGATGCATGTCTTAAAGTACTCTACAAAAAATGTAAACATAAAAGTAGGGGACAAAGAGAAAACCAAGCCAACTACCAATAAATGTAGGGTGCCACAGTCAAAAGCAAGTAGTTGGAATACGAGTTGAGATTGTTCTGTCAACCAACACTTCCAAGGGCAAGAATGAACAATCAACCTCAATACAATTGTGATTGAAACCCTTTAAGGGTATTTTAAAAATCTATTAAAAACTGTCTATTGCTTGCATGTAGGGAGAGAGAAACTAAACCTTTCAAAAGGATCATTTATATTTTGTATTGATTATAATAAATAATGGTGGCACACACAAGAAAGTAACAGCCATTTTAAAAAAAGATTATGCTTTCTTTAAATTTTTTTTATGTACTGTAAATTTCATCGGTCTGACTTAAGGTGATTATAATTTACTTAAGTGTTTTGCACATAAAAAGTAACAAAACATGACTGCAGATTAGTTTAACCTCATCACATCCCTGATTGCGGCACTGCTATATTAACATGTTAAGGCGTGATGGGCTGCTAAATCCTTGCTGCACACTGTGTCAGTGACAGAGACTATATAGAGGGGATAAAATAGGAGGAATGTCCATCTCCATAAGGGCTGGAGCAGAGCAGATGGCACTCTTTGCTATCACAGGCATGGCTGAGATTAGTTGATGTGAGAGGGGGCGCAGGCCCGATGAGGGGGCAGTGAGGGAAGCCCACATCTGTTTGGATTATCCAAGCAGGGAGGAAGCTGGGGTGGGGGGGACGTAGGAGAGACCACACAGCTTTCATAGAGGGCAGACAAGAATAGCAAAACATCTGATCACTAACACACACACACAAATGAACTGAAACCAACACTTAAAAGGCTACAGAGAAATTAACTTGTGAGATGGCGTACTTTTATCTACAGCCAATGATAAATTCAAAACCTTCAGACTTAGTTATAAAATACAGGAACCCAAGGAATAAAGCTTGAAACAAAGCCAATAATAGCAAAACCTTTATGACTCATGCTGACTCACTTGTTCAAATTATAGCAAAGATGCTGTGTCACATGTTAATTTCTAGGTTCATCCCCTCTTCCTTTCAAGACTTTTATTTAAAGGATGATTTCAGCTTGGGGCAGTCACTCAGGTAATTGTGACCAGTTAATATGAGACATACGTGCTTGCTCAGCAATCACTGCCAGTTATCCTAAAGCAGGGAGGACACGATGTCCTCCGGGAGCAGACAGGTTGTCACTACACACAAAGGCAACTGATTATGACTGCTAATAAGAGTGGAATTGACATTTTGAAACATTTTTGCAGTTGGAAACATAAATATTTCAAGCACTTAACTGTTAAAGACTGAATACCTTCATGTGATTATCATTATTTTTCATTCAAGTGTAAATTGATATATTGTAAATTTAAATACTGAAACATATGGAAACACCAAATAAATAGTATTGCCTCATGTCCCAGTGTCATTCTAGACCTAAGTCTCTTCAGCTGTTTCTTGACTTGTTCCTTCAACATTTCATTATCCATTAATAATGATATTGCATGATAATTCCATCTGTTTTTCATGCACTGTCTGGTATGCATACATAAGTGTGCTGCAAAACCTCAGCCCTTGACCTTGCTTGCCTTTAAACCTGACTCATCTCTACTAATTAGAGAATAAATCTGAATTCCATATCTCTAGTGAGCACATGGGCTGTATTAGAATACAATGACAGTCAGAGACTAAGCAACACAATATTGTGCATGAATATCTAGCAGAACTAGGCATTTTTCTGTGCAGAAAAATGCAACTGGAAGTAGCAGTGTCACCATACAGGGGCTGCTGTGGGAGACATTCTACTGAGATCCTTATGACTAACTTTAAAACATGATGGAAATACTGAAGCATTGTTCAAAAAGCAGCAGTCATCTGAGAGGATGCAGACAGAGAGGCCTGTCAGTGTGATGCTATGTAACTGCTGAGTTGCTTAAGTGAGTCACATAACTGAAGAAAAGCATATACAGTATTTATCCTTAACAAACAAAACAAATCAAACAAAGAATCTGAGTGAAACCGTGCTACAGTAAATGTGTCTGCGAGCTAAGGTGAGAGATTTGCAGGAGCAACGACTTCAGAAGAGCTTGATAAAGAGGGAAGACTGTCAAAAGTTGTTAAATCTAAAGCCTGTGTGCAGCACTATATGCAGCACCGAGGCCAGTCACTGACTCAGCGTAAGTGGTCGCTAAAAAATATTTTCTGAGACTTATCATACCATGAAAATCTCATACTGGTGCAACCCTAGACTGGACATGTTAGAGCCAGGAGCTGCAGAAAAACAGCAACTTCTGTCCTGTGACAAGATGCCAAAGCAAGTTCATAACAGTGAAACCATTACATTTAAATCAAATCAAATTTTATTTGTATAGCGCCAAATCACAACAAAAGTCATCTCAGGACACTACAAAGTAAGGTCTAGACCTTACTGTTATCAATATTATTACATAGGGAAAACCCAACAAATCCCCCTTGAGCAAGCACTTGGTGACAGTGGGGAGGAAAAACTCCCTTTAACGTGACTGCTCGTCAACTGATTTCTGACAGCTGAGGTATTAAATTAAATTCCATTATTCTACAAAAGCATAGTACAACTCCTTATTTGATTACAGTGACTATTAATTGATTACAATTAACTGCCACCTGTATCAGCATCATTACATGTTTATATACCATAATTCCACAGGAGAGAGAAAGTGTGTATGACTGAGGTTTAACTATTAACGATTGTTCCTTCTTCTCCTTTGCGATTGTGTCAATAAATCATTAGTAAATAAAAATTTCATGGTAAATGTTTAACATTAATAAGTAAACAGGTTGGGCTGGTTTTACATAACAGACTGCAAATATGATACTACAGGACACAATACATAATGAATCACATTATCACTCATATAACATTACATATATAACTTACAATCAAGCAAGCAATAAAGTGCCTAATGAAGGTTGCATTTTTGTTCTTCAACACGTCATCATGACTGCTGAAAGCTTCGGAGACACCTGATCCATGGAGCATTTTTGCTATGCTGTTGTTGTGTTTTTGTAAAATAATGGAATTTAGTTTATTATCACAGCTGTCAGAAAACCATTGTTATAAACGATTTACTAATTAGCTCAGTTAAAATAATGAATAAAAAAGTGCAAAATAAGAGTTAGTATTTAGCTGGTTTTTTTTGTTCATTATATGGTGAATAGTACATAAATAGGTTGCATGACTGAGTCTGAGGCACTTTTATTCTGGCATTCACACTTTGTGTTGCATAATCTCCATGGAGCTATTTTTAATGTGTCAACAATAGAATCATGAGAAAACAATATATTTTCTCTATCACTGTCACCTTGCATTTGAGCAACTCATAATATTAGCTGCTTTGATATCACCGCTTTGATTTCACCTAGTGTTCAGGGTAATCCTTTCTTCAAAAAGCATTTTCCTAATTATCATTTTTCTGCATGATTAATGGGGTCAGTCAGTCAAAGATCGCCATCTAGTGATAGCCAACAGTCACCGCATCTGCAATATACAGCAAGCATCTTATTTTGGCTCTTTGTCTTACACAAACTGAGCTAAGAAAATTTAGAAAAATTATTTTGACCAGTAGGAGATCATAAATTTGCTATTCAAAAAAAGAAAAAAAGAAATCAAAATCTGTTTCTTGAGGCCTCATAAAGAATGCACTTTCTTAAGTAAATTCTGCATGTAGATAATTCAAATATCTCCTATTCTAAGGCCTGTTTTTGTTGTAATCTAAACTTGTTTTTCTTATACCTTGTTAATTTCACTATTTTGTGTCTCGTTTTAATGGAAAAAGTTATTCAATGGAAAATTTAATAAAATAAAAAATCACTCTTAAGCCAAAATACAAGTAAAAAAAGACAGGCTAACCTAAAAACTATTAAACTGTTTTTGCCTTTGTGATACATTTCATTAAACATGTTGTGCTTCGTAAATTGAATTTATACTCCTGCATGGCTGCACATGTGCGCCTCTCATTTCGGAGGGGGATGCATAGCTGTTGCACTGCCTAAGGAAATGTTGTTTAGTGTTTAACAATCACATCAGCTATCATTCAGATTCCAACAGGAGGGGGTATCACTGTTTCCGGTTCAGCGTTGCACTGGGGCAAACGGATTTAGGAGCACAACTACAGATTTAACATCAGATTGTTTTAAAACAGCCAACACCCGCAACCACCAGAATAATATTTACACAGTGACAAATGACATTTGTTCACCATAATATTAGTTTTATTTGTGGTTACTGTCTGGGTTCAGTGGTGACAGGAGCTCACTGATAGCTAGCAAGTGACAGGAGCAGTTACTGTTCACAGGAGCCACAGAGAACTAATGGGTATTCAAAATATTAGCATGTAGCATATAGCAATATGTTAAAATTCACAAATAGGCCAATATTAATTTGATTTCCCCACTGTGGGATCAATAAAGTACCTACTCTACTCTATTAAGAAAGCGTGGGCAGAATAGCACCACCAGTGTTACTTATTAGTCCTAAAATATACTCAATCTTGACCTTCAGGTTACAAACACAATGTTAACTGGTGTCATTCATAGGAACTTTCAGATGCTGCTATGGATACTAGCATCTTATTTTCTACATAGTGTATCCCTGTAAGCCAAGCTAGCGTTAGTGTTAGCATAAATGAAAAAAAGTTTGAAAATTACATTCTAGCAACCTTCAAAATCAAATGTGTAACATCGTGATGTCAGTTGCTGACTTACTTTTGCAGATTCGCTGCTCCAAACTGAAGGTGGAACACCATTGGTGTTTATGCTAATGCATGGCTAGCAGCTAGCCGTAGCAGCCTTAGGGCTAGCAGGTAGCCGTAGCAGCCTTACGGCTAG